GTGTATGTGTGTTTGTGTATGTATGTGTGTGTGTGTGTGTTTCCTCCTGTGTGTACCCTAATATCCCCACCTTGCCATGCCTCATGTCTCTTAAGGGCTGTGCCTGCATGATTAATTCTGCTGATTCTTGGCCAGGTACCACTCTATTGACAGGTGCTCTTGTCTTTGAACTTAGCAGGACAGAACAGTGTTTTCCTTTACTCTCAAGATTGCTATGAGGTGCTAGGCTAGGATTGGCTATGGATTTCTTCATAATTATAGCCTCCTTTTAAGAAACCCAATATATTGAACTGTAGACTTAGTAAAATACTTAGGGGTTGAATATTTGCTTTTCAGAATGGTCTTCTGTAAAGTTCTTTTAAATAGCTAGTTCTCCAGTTTCATTGAAATATAATTTGATTCCCAGAATTTGCTCTGTAGGAACATGGGTCCTCATTAAGGTGCAGCATACCCATTATTGCTCTCCTGGTTTCTGGTACAGCTAGTGCTCGACTTACGACCATGATTGGTTCCGACAGACCGGTCGTAACACAATTTGGTCGTAAGTTGAGTAGGCTATATGCACGCGGAGATGGTAGTGCTGCTGGAACCTGGTCCGCACTGTCGTATGCTCAGCTGGGCAACGTTTGCGCTGCCAGATGCGGAGCAGTCATAGCTAGCGATTGTGGTCGTAAAGTCGAATGGTCATAAGTTGCATAGGTCGTAAGTCGATCAATACCTGTATTAGAGACAGAGCCCCTCCTCACTGGAGACTGAAGCAGTGTTTTGCATAGAATGAGGAGCAAATGAGGGAGTTGGATTATTTTCTTTATCACTCCCCCCTCCCCCGACATCACCAACCATGTGTGTCTACCTAAGAGCTGAGTACTGAATCAAGGCTGCCTTGTGTTCTGAAAGGCTATGCCCACATGGAGGTATGTGTGTGTGAGGGCGGAGCCCCTTAGAGACAGCATACAGCTGACTGCTGCCCCCCAAGGCCAGCTTTTCCCCTGCGATTTTTGCTTGTTGCCTGCACTCAAGTGATCCTCCCACCCCCGTCTCCCAAATAGCTGGGACTACAGTTGCACACCACCATGCCCAGGTAGTTTTTATATATCTTATATATGTGGGGTGTTGCTGTGTTGCCCAGGCTGGGTCTTGAACTCTTGGGCCAAACAGTCCTCCTATCCGGAACTCTCAAAGTGCTAGGATTACAGGTGTGAACCACCGCACTAGGCTCTGTTGTCTGTTTTTTCTTTCTTTTTTTTTTTGAGGAGTCTCTCTCTGTTGTCACCATACAATTTCTTCTCTAGGATGACAGGCATTCAGATTACCTAAAAGTACTTGCTAATTAAAAATGGTTCTCTAAAATCAGCCAAGCACATTGCAGAGAAAATACTCTTTTTTTTGAGATGGAGTTTCACTCTTGTTGCCTAGGCTGGAGAGCAATGGTTTGGTCTCAGATCACTAGAACCTCTGCCTCCTGGTTCAGGCGATCATCCTGCCTCAGCCTCCCAAGTAGCTGGGATTACAGGCATGTGCCACTGCGCCCGGATAATTTTGTATTTTTAGTAGAGATGGGGTTTAACTATGTTGGTCAGGCTGGTCTTGAACTCCTGACCTCAGATGATCCGCCCACTTAGGCCTCCCAAATTGCTGGGATTACAGGTGTGAGCCACCATGCCTGGCCAAAACACTCTTATCTCAAGGAGTCTAGGATGAAAGAGAGGGGTTATGCTGATTACAATCATTGACTTCCAAATACGTAGTAGTTACTAATGAATATACTAACATTCAGAAATAAATTTCACTACAAATATTAAGAAGTAAATTTTACTTCCAAAGTTGTTGATATCTAATTGATTTTCTACTTCCTTTCTAAAACCTATTAAATGAACCAGAGACACAGGATAGTCATTTCTTTTTTTTTTTTTTTCCAGGATAGTCATTTTTACAGAGATTTGAAATCTGCCAGGTCATTAAGTGAATGGTAACTCAGGATTAGATATGAATTTGTATTTGCCAATCACATTTCTCCCTTGTCCCTTAATGCCCTTTGTAGATGTTTTTGGGAGTGAGTTATTAATGCAAAAATTTAAATTTTATTATTAGATCATTTCACAGCTGTTTTTTATTTTGTCTTGAGAGGCTAAGTACATGAACCATCTGGACACACACACTTTTTTTTGAGATGGAGTCTTGCTGTTGTCCCCCAGGCTGGAGTGCAATGGCATGATCTTGGCTCACTGCAACCTCCGCCTCCTGGGTTCAGGCAATTCTCCTGCCTCAGCCTCCTGAGTAGCTGGGATTACAGGCACACGCCACCATGCCCAGCTAATTTTTTGTAGTTTTATTAGAGACGGGGTTTCACCGTGTTGACCAGGATGGTCTCGATCTCTTGACCTCGTGATCCACCCGCCTCGGCCTCCCAAAGTGCTGGGATTACAGGCTTGAGCCACCGCGCCTGGCCTATGCCTGGCTAATTTTTGTATTTTTAGTAGAGACAGGGTTTCACCATGTTGGCCAGGCTGGTCTCGAACTCCTGACCTCAGGTGATCCACCCCCCCCTTGGCCTCCCAAAGTGCTGGGATTACAGGCATGAGCCACCACATCCGGCCACACACACTCTTGATTCCTGTTATTTCTAACTCTGAACAGTCCTAAGTTCTAGTTTTCTAAAACTCTAAATAATCTAATTTGCTTTCCTTTTTTTCTTTTCTTTTCTGTTCTCTTCAGGAGAAGATGGATGATGTTATGTTTCAAATTATCTGAAGCTTAATAAGAGATTGCAGTTCTGCAGTATATTTTATGTTAAATAATTAGAGACTTGTATCTCAGTTTTTATTTTGGGAGATAGGAATTTGAGGATGGTCTGATTGTTGATGTATTTATCTGCAGCAGTTTGTCTTATAAAAGATTATTTACCTCTTCTGTGATTTTACTATGAAAATTGGAGGCTGGGCACAGTGGCTCATGCCTGTAATTCCAGCACTTTGGGAGGCCGAGGCGGGAGGATCACCTGAGGTCAGGAGTTTGAGACCAGCCTGGCCAACATGGTGAAACCCTGTCTCTACTAAAAATATAAAAATTAGCTGAGTGTGGTGACGCATACCTATAACAGCTGCTCGGGAGGCTGAGGTAGGAGAATCATTTGAACCCTGGAGGTGGAGGTTGCAGTGAGCTGAGATCGCACCACTGCGTGCCAGCCTGGGTGACAGAGTGAGATTGTATCTCAAAAAAAGAAAAAAGAGAAAAGAAAGAAAATTTGAAATATACAGAAAAATTGGTCAGTGAATTCACAAGTTAACATTTTGCTGTACGTAGTTTATCGCTGAGCTACCCAACTAGCCATCTCTTTACTATAATTTTATTTTATTTTACCCTCAAGAAGAAATGGCCTTTATAGCTAATAGTAAAGTGATAAGAGAGACAGACAGACATGCACAGTGCCTGACACATGGTAGACATAGTATGGCAGGTTGGCAAATGAAGGACTGCATGTCAATGAATGAATAACTTGAGTAAAACATACTTCTAGCTCCTGAGTACTCCCAGCCATTCCTGCTCTGCCGCTGGTGCTCACTCTACCTGGAACACACTCCTTCCAGATGTCTGTATGGCTTCCTTCCTTTTGGTTTCTGCTCAGCGAGAATTTCACTGACCTCCCTGTATAAATTAGCAGCTCCTCCTGGCACACACCAGCCGTGAGCACTCCTTGCATGCTTTGTTCTGCTTCCACTTCCTGCTATGTCCCCAAACCCTAGACTAGCACCTGGGATTATATACAGCTGCTCCTTCATGTACAATGGGGTTACATCCTGATAAATGCATTGTAAGTTGAAAATATTGTAAGTTGAAAGTCTGTTTAATGCACATAACCTACTCAACATCATAGCTTGGCCTAGACTACCTTAAAGGTACTCAGAACACTTAACACTGTCTTAGCCAGGCATGGTTATATGTGCCTGTCTTTCTAGCTACTCAGGAGGTTTTAGGCCGAAGGATTGCTTGAACCCAGGAATTTGAGGCTGCAGTGAGCTATGATTGTGCTACTGCATTCCACTCACACTCCAGCCTGGCCAACAGAGCTGGACCTTGTCTAAAAATAAATAAATAAAATAAAGAACACTTACATTGTCCACAGTCAAAATCATCTGGCAGCGCAGTAAACTGCACACTTCATGGTAGCATGGCAGGCTGGGAACCTCAGCTCGTTGCCACTGCTCAGCATTGCCAGAGAGTATAGTTCTGTATGTCACTAGCCTGGGAAACATTTAAAATTTGAAGTACAGTTTCTACTGAATTGTGTGTCATTTTCGCACAATTGTAAGTTAAACCATTGCAGGTTGGGGACTCTCTGCATACATATATGTTTATGTGTATAGATAGATATAGAGAGCTGTTGCTCAGGAAACAGTTGATACAGGAAGGAATAAACAAATGGGAATTTCAAGGTTTATAGTTTTACTGTTATTGTTAGTTTAAGGTATTTTCTTGTCAAAATAGCCAAGAGATGTTTGAGCTACACAGAGTCACGAAAACTTCTTTCAGGGCCAGTATACTCATAGGGAAGATTGTGATTTGGGTATGGTTAGCTTGCCTTGCTTAGAGAAGTTCCAGGGAATTCATGTTCAGCATTTTTTTTTCTTTGTTTTTCTTTTGGAGTCAGAGTCTCACTTCATTGCTCAGGCTGCAGTGCAGTGGCGCCATCTTGACTTACTGCAACCTCTACCTCCCCCATTTAAGCAATTCGCATGCTGCAGCCACCTGAGTAGCTGGGATTACAGGTGTGTGTGCCACCATGCGTTGCTAACTTGTATTTTTAGAAGAGACGAGGTTTCACCATGTTGGCCAGGCTGGTCTCAAACTCCTGACCTCAGGTGATCCACCTGTGTTGGCCTCCCAAAGTGCTGGGATTACAGTGATGAGCCACTGTGCCCAGCCAGCATTTTTTTCTTTGAAAGACTTGTGCTCCTAAGCAAAACCCTTGGTGATTCTAATGCCTCTTGTCCTCCTCCTAGCACCCCTGCAGTGGACCATGAGTCGGTAATGCCCACTGAGGACCTCTGGGAGCCATGTCAGACGAATCTGCCTCAGGGAGCGATCCAGACCTGGACCCGGACGTGGAGCTGGAGGATGCGGAAGAGGAGGAGGAGGAGGAGGAGGTGGCAGTGGAGGAGTGTGACAGGGATGATGAAGAAGACCTGCTGGATGGTAAGTGAGCTCTATTGAGTGACAGAGATTGCCTTATATTTTCCTTCAATGGAATTTTTGCTGGGAGAGCTTGGTGTTTCCTGTTGGATTTCTTAGGCCATCCATAGTAAGAAGACATAGACTAGGAACTGAGTTGCAATGAACTTAGATATTCGTTCCTAGGAAATGGATTATTGTTCCTCCACATAAGCTTTGTTTTATTGCTGGAAGAACCTTTAGCCGTTAGCTCGTTTTTGACGGATGTATGGACTCAGGTCCAGAGATTACAGAATGTTGCATACTTGCCCGGGTCATGAAGGAGTCAGTGTCAGAGTCCCTGTGGTAAGACTTTGCAGTCAGGAGGCCATGGGCTCTTCAGGTAGACATGAGGGTAACTGTGAGTGGTCTGTAAGTTTTCTGAAATTATACGTTATAGTTCTTCGTGTAGGTATGTGAGGGAATTGTCTGGGCAGAGATTCCCAGACAGGTTCACAATTTCAGAAAGCTCACTGCATTTCCTGCAGTGCTGCTCTACCTCTTGGCCATTCCAGTGACCATAAACTGCTCCTACTGGGAGGGCACCACATCACCATAACTGGTAGGCCCCCTTTTGATGCCTTCTATTTGGTTTGCTCAGCTCACTCCTCTTTTTCCCTCAGCTCCTTGAAAGGCATTGGACTTTTTCTTTTAATGTTCATTCTAATGTTAGGACATTTGGCCAGCTACAGGGCTTCTCAATTAATTCCAGCCTTTTACGGCATAGGATTTAGTTGTTTGTAAGCTTCCTACTGACTGAGGAATAGGGTTTTTGTCTGTTCATAGCTGACCCCCTAGTGGAACTGAACGTTGCATTAGATCATCTAATTACTTGAATCTGAAGGAACGTAGGAAAATGTACTCCTACCATTCTCCAGATTCCAGGAGGATGAGCACTGATCCTCTGTCTTTGCTGATGTTTCCTATCTTCATTTCTCATTCATCCTAACAGCTGTCATATGGCTTGGGAGTCCCTTTGCCCTCCTTTATACTGTCCAGAAATCTCTGCTCCATTTCTGCAGGGAAATGACCATTTACTTTTATCCCCTTTAATAGCGTTTGCTGTCCATTGCTAGCTTCTTCAGTTGGAGTCTCATTTCTAGAAAGTAGAATGAATAGAAATAATGGAAGACAGTAATGTTTACTTGGCTCTTACTGTTCCTGCAATGATGTTAGAGTCCCTAGGTGTCAGCATCACTTTTTGCTTTTCATCATTTGGGTTCTCATAATTTTATTTACAGATACCCCTAGTACTCCCATCAGGTTTAGATTGGATTTTAGATGCTTCTGGTGAGTATAATGGATATATACACACTATCTTCCCTGTTGGCTTCTTGGTATTCTCTTTTCCTTGTAAAATTCTTAATTATTCAAAAATTATATGGTAGGCTTCTGTGGACTTTATTATTTATTTAGAAATGACAATAATTTAATTATGATTTGTCTCAGAATAGTGTAGCTATGCAATTGGTTTTTAAAAATATTACTCCTGTGACAGATTAAATTTGGGTTTTTAAAAACAGTATTTACGCAATTATCACATTAATACTTTTTTTTTTTTTTTTTTTTTTTTGAGACAGAGTTTCGCTCTTGTTATCCAGGCTGGAGTGCAATGGCGCGATCTCGGCTCACCGCAACCTCCGCCTCCCGGGTTCAGGCAATTCTCCTGCCCCAGCCTCCTGAGTAGCTGGGATTACAGGCACGCACCACCATGCCCAGCTAATTTTTTGTATTTTTAGTAGAGACGGGGTTTCACCATGTTGACCAGGATGGTCTTGATCTCTTGACCTCGTGATCCACCCGCCTCAGCCTCCCACAGTGCTGGGATTACAGGCTTGAGCCACTGCGCCTGGCCCACATTAATACTTTTTAAAAATTTTGAAATGACTTATTTTTTATTGAAGTTCAGAGTGATAAACAAACATTCCATTAGGCACTATGTCCTGCTGTGCTCTGTTAGGTTAACTGACTTTTTGGAATTTGACTCAAGGACCAGTTTTTATATTTCACTACAGTGTTAAGAGCCACAAAAGTACTTGTGGTGACTTTGACCCTATTTTACCTCTTAAAGCTTTTCTTTTCCTCTCATGTTGAGCAGTCTATGCAATTTTCCTGAAAAATCCCAGATCTGCCTCTTTCTTTAGTCTTGTCCTTGCTGCCATCCCATAGTCATGGGCAAAGCAGCCAGCTATTTTACCATTAAGAATGGCAATGAAGGCTGCGTGCGGTGGCTCACACCTGTAATTCCAGCCCTTTGGGAGGCTGAGGTGGGCAGATCACCTGAGGTCGGGAGTTCGAGACCAGCCTGACCAACATGGAGAAACTCTATCCCTACTAAAAATACAAAATTAGCCAGGTGTGGTGGCATATGCCTGTAATCCCAGCTACTCGGGAGGCTGAGGCAGGAGAATCTCTTGAACCTGAGAGGCGGAGGTTGTGGTGAGCCTAGATCACACCATTGCACCCCAGCCTAGGCAACAAGAGCAAACTCCGTCTCAAAACAAAAGAAAATGAACAAACAAAAAAAATAGCAATGAATAATCTAGTCTTGGTATAGTGTGATGTGGCCCTTTTGTTTTCTTAGAGCAGTGGTTCTCAACCTGGTATGATTTTGCTTCTTAGGGGACAGTTTATAATGTGTGAAGACATTGGTTGTCAGGGTTCTTGGGGGTAGGGTGAGGATGCTACTGTCATCTAGTGGAAAGAGGCTGAGGATGCAACCAAGCACCCTACAATGCATAGAACAGCCCCCAGCCCACCCTAGCAATTATCTGGCCCCAATGTCAATAGTACTGAGATCTGAAAAACCATTTCACAAAGGAAACTTGCTTCAGTCCTTTCTATTTGAAGTTTCATCTCTGTTGGATAACCATAGCTTACTTTTATATGGTTTGTCATAGTTTACACAAGCATGTGAACAATCTTATTCTTTTCACAAACTGTCTTTTGGCTGTGGTGTATTTTGTTTGTTTTCGTTGTAATTTCTACTTTAAAATTTTCTATTTCTTTTGGGTTTATTTTGCCTTTCAGATTTCTCAAGAATGTGCATAGCCCATTAATTGTCAGATGTTTTTCTATGTAAGCATTTAAAGCTTTCTTTCAAACTTCTTAAGAATGTGTATAGCTCATTAATTTTTAGATTTTTTTTCTATGTAAGCATATAAAGGTATAATTTTCCCTATAAGCTTCAGCTCCATTCCCCCACAAGCATTTTGACACACTTTATCATACTTGTCTTTCTTTTTTTTTTTTTTTTCTTGCTTTGTCACCCAGGCTGGAGTGCAGTGGTACGATCTCGACTCATTGCAACCTCTGCCTCCCAAGTTCAAGCAATTCTCCCACCTCAGCCTCCTGAGTAGTAGCTGGGATTACAGGCATGTACCACCATGCCTGGTTAATTTTTTGTATTTAATAGAGACAGGGTTTTACCTTGTTGGCCAGGCTGGTCTCAAACTCCCAATCTCAGGTGATCCACCCGCCTCGGCCTCCCAAAGCGCTAGGATTACAGGCCTGAGCCACCACACCCGGCCTAATTGTTCCTTTCTTTTCACCCATCAGGAAGCAACATTACAGCATGGTCCCAGATAGATACATATTTTCTTAGAATTTTCTATGACCCTATGGAAAAAGTTTGGTTTATTTTGTTTGTATGTATGTATGTATGTATGTATGTATGTATGTATGTATTTATTTTGAGATGGAGTCTCACTCTGTCACCTGTTGCCAGGCTGGAGTGCAGTGGTGAAATCTTGGCTCACTGCAACCTCTACCTCCCGCGTTCAAGCAATTCTCCTGCGTCAAGCCTTCCAAGTAGCTGGGACTGGAGGCGTGCGCCACCACGCCTAGCTAATTTTTGTATTTTTAGTAGAGATGGGGTTTCACCATGTTGGTCAGAATTGTCTCGATCTCTTCACCTCGTGATCTGCCTGCTTCAGCCTCCCAGAGTGCTGGAATTACAGGCGTGTGTCACCGTGTCTGGCCTGTATGTATGTATTTATTTATTTTGAGACGGAGTCTTGCTGTGTGGCCCAGTCTGGAGTGCAATGGTTCAGTCTTGGCTCACTGCAACCTCCACCTCCCGGGTTCACTATTCTCTGGCCTCATCCTCTCAAGTAGCTGGGATTACAGGTGCCTGCCATCACACCTGGCTAATTTTTGTGTTTTTAGTGGAGACGGGGTTTCATCATGTTGGCCAGGCTGGTCTCAAACTCCTGACCTCAGGTGATGCTTCCACTTCAGCCTCCCAGAGTGCTGGGATTACAGGCATGAGCCATCGCACCTGGTCTATTGTTTTATGTATTATTATTAAAAAAAATTTTTTTTTGAGACAGAGTCTAGCTTTGTCACACAGGCTGGAGTGCAGTGGCGCAATCTCAGCTTATTGCAACCTCCACCTCCAAGGTTCAGAATATTCTCCTGCCTCAGCCTCTTGAGTAGCTGTGATTACAGGTGCCCACCACCGCACCTGGCAAATATATATATATATATATATATATATTTTTTTTTTTTTTTTTTTTTTTTTTTGAGACTGAGTTTTGCTCTTGTTGCCCAGGCTAGAGTGCAATGGCCCACTCTCAGCTCACCACAACCTCTGCCTCCCAGGTGCAAGTGATTGTCTTGCCTCAGCCTCCCGAGTAGCTGGGATTACAGGCATGTGCCACCACACCTGGCTAATTTTGTATTTTTAGTAGAGATGGGGTTTCTTTATGTTGGTCAGGCTGGTCTCGAACTCCCAACCTCAAGTGATCCACCCGCCTTGGCCTCCCAAGGCATTGGGATTACAGGCATAAGCCACCTCACTCAGCCAGTAATATTTGTACTTCTAGTAGAGACAGGGTTTTACCAAGTTGGCCAGGCTGGTCTCAAACTCCTGATCTCAAGTGATCTGCCTGCCTTGCCCTCCCAAGTGCTGGGATTACAGGTGTGAGCCATCGAGCCCAGCCTGTTTTATTTTTTAAATGGCCAGTCAGAAAAGGCTTTTCCTGTCTTCTCTGACCAGAGTTTACTCTCCAGCCTTTTGCATTCACAGGGTTAACATTTAGTATTTCAACATGAGATGGTTCAGAAGACTCATTACATGCATTAATTTATTATTTTGCCAAGGCATGGCTTTACATGATGCTTACTTTCTCCCTTCTCTTAGACTGGGGTGTGGGAACTGGTAATTTGGCCTTGCCTTCCACAGCATATGCTCTTCAACCTACCCTGTTCTCTGCTCCCAGATCAGAAGTTCTTATCATCATTAAGGTTCTGAAGGGATAATTTAAAATTTCCAGTTATACTTGAGTGCATTTTGTATAGGAAATTATGAGCTATAGCAATATTATTATTTTTTTTGAGACAGTCTCGTACTGTCATCCAGGCTGGAGTACAATAGTATGATCTCAGCTCACTGCAACCTCTGCCTCCTGGATTCACATGATTCTCCTGCCTCAGCCTCTGGAGTAGCTGGGATTACAGGCCCACAGCACCACACCTGGCTAAATTTTTTGTATTTTTAGTAGAGATAGGATTTCACTATGTTGGCCAGACTGGTCTCAAACTCCTGACCCTGTGATCCGCCCACCTTGGCCTCCCAAAGTGCTGGGAATAGGGCATGAGCCACTGTGCCTGGCTGGCCGTAATATTCTTTAATTTGGGATTTTGTAAAGGTTTCTTAATTCTTCCTTGCCTCTTGTGTTTTCCCAGCATGATGTCTGCTGTGACATCCGATGCTCTGCTTGTGAAACCCCAGTCTTTGTTCAGTCCTTTTTTCTCAACTACCAAATCCTTCTGGGTTTGTGTGTGTGTGGTTCAAAGTGTTCATCAGTAGAATGGAATAGTAAACCGAGTTCCGTTGATTCCGCCCCCAACACCACAGGTTACTAGCACGCTTTTGTTTGTTGGTAGGATCAATTTTATTGTCTTTTTCTCTCTTAGGGTAACAGACATAATAGTAACAAATTTGAGAGGATTATCGCTTTAGTTTGTACGCCCAAGCCTTCTCTCAAATAAAAGAAGCAGAATGAGCTATTGTTGTTCTTTTTGCCCTTTCCTTCTTTAAAGGAACAGTAGTTTTCTCTCCTAGTTTCTTCTCACTTGACATGGCCACCTCTACATGGGGGCTTAGAGGAGTTTGTGTGTTATCGAAAGATTTGTATACTATTTCATACCTCCATCACCATTTAAAATGGATTTTGGGGAGGGACAATGGTGATTCTGCACTACATCATGAGGCTTTACCTGTCTGAGCCCATAGGGAAGGATCGCAATCCCCCAAGGCTGTAAAGAGACTTGTTCTCATTATTATTCATTATTAAAGAATGAATCTTTGGGGCTGGGCATGGTGGCTCATGCCTGTAATCCCGGCACTTTAGGAGGCTGAGGTAGGCGGATCAGTTGAGGTCAGGAGTTTGAGACCAGCCCAGCCAACATGGTGAAACCCCATCTCTACTAAAAATATTAAAATTAGCTGGGCATCGTGGCAGGTGCCTATAATCCAGCTACTCAGGAGCCTGAGGCAGGAGAATCACTTGAACCCAGGAGGCAGAGGTTGCAGTAAGCCAAGATTGAACCACTGCACTCCAGCCTGGGCAACAAGAGCGAGACTCCATCTCAAAAAGAAAAATAAAAGAATGACTGTTCCTTAATAATCCCTTTTGGGATATAAAGATTCGGTGGTTCACGCCTGTAATCCTAGCACTTTGGGAGGCTGAGGTGGGTGGATTACCTGAGGTCAGGAGTTCAAGACTAGCCTGACCAACATGGTGAAACCCTGTCTCTATTTAAAAGAAAAGAAAGATTCCTTTTGCTTCTCCAACTGTTAGCTCTCAGGCTCTCTGGAGATGTTAGGAGAGAGCTTTCTGGATCTCCGTGAGAGAGACTGTCAAGTGGAGCCCCTAAGAAGGGAAGGAAGCCCAGCACTGATTGAAATGACCCTTATATCAGCTCTAGATCCAGCACATTAGGCAACTGCAGCGTCTGGAACCATTTTACTCCTTCTAGTGCATAATGGCAGGCGGAGGAATCACTGGCCCTTTAGTGATTCTGAAGTTTCCAAGAATAATATGCTTAAGTCTTTTTTTATTTTTTGAGATGAAGTCTTGCTCTGTTGCCAGGCTGGAGCGCAGTGGTGCGATCTCAACTCACTGCGACCTCTGCCTCCCAGGTTCAAGCGATTCTCCTGCCTCAGCTTCCCAAGTAGCTGGGATTATAGACGCCTGCCACAACACCTGGCTAATTTTTGTATTTTTAGTAGACATAGGGTTTTACTGTTTTGGCCAGGCTGGTCTTGACCTCCTGACCTCATGACCCACCCACTTCGGCCTCCCAAAGTGCTGGGATTATAGGCGTGAGCCACCACACCTGGCCCATGCTTAAGTCTTTAATTCTGTTTTTATTTTTTCCGTGTTTTGGTCACTCATACTTTGGGAAGTAAGCAAGAACATGTCTTATCACCTCTGTTCTCCTATTCAGATACATAGCCCATTCCTTTAATAGTTTTTTTTTTTTTTTTTTTTTAGAGAGATGAGAGACCCTTGGAGGAAAAATTGTAAGAGGAATTCTTGAGTGGTCAACCTATTGTCACTTGAGTCCTTTGGCAGTACCAGAAGGAAGGGTTCAGATGGGTCAACAGGGGCCAAGGATTGCCTGTTGCCTTTTTTTTTTATTTTAAATTTTTGTGAGTATATAATTTTGTATTTTTAATGGAGATGGGGTTTCTCCATGTTGGTCAGGCTAGTCTTGAACTCCCGACCTCAGGTGATCTGCCCGCCTCGGCCTCCCAAAGTGCTGGATTTACAGGTGTGAGCCACTGGGCCTGGCCCAATTATATTCTTTTAGTTATAAAAACTATGGTTGGAGACCAGGTGTGATCGCCCAAGCCTGTAATTCCAGTACTTTGGGAGGCTGAGGCAGGCAGATAATGAGTTCAAGAGATCGAGACCATCCTGGCCCACATGGTGAAACTAAAAATGCAAAAATTAGCTGGGCCTGGTGGTGTGTGCTTGTAGTCTCAACTTCTCAGGAAGCTGAGACAGGAGAATCGCTTGAACCCAGGAAGCAGAGGTTGCAGTGAGCCCAGGCTGGACCACTGCACTCCAACCTGGGCGACAGAGCAAGACTCCATTTCAAAACAAACAAACAAACAAAAAAACACTATAGTTGGATGCCTCAAAGTAGGTGGCTATGCCTTAAACAGTATGTGTATTGTCAGGCAGAAGGCCTCTTCCATCATTGTCAAGGGGAGTGTTAACCTTCTCTCCTTTCATACAACACTCTTGTATGAGCTGCAGCCATTTTCAAGTAGTACCTAGCTCTCTTTATGTTCTCTGATCCCTGGGCAGTAGAGTTTATTTTCCTTAATTTGTGGTGACGGCTATGTGTAAGATCGCTTCTGGAATTCTGGGAGATGGAAGGAATGGGGGAAATAAACTAAATATGTGATTCAGCATTTATGTTTGGCATAAGGATTTTGGTTAAAGAGAGATAAAATTAGTAGATCTTTTCTCATAGCTGACGGAATAATGAAGTTGGGTGATTGGAGAAAGTAGGGGAGTAGTTTTAAGAATCAGCTCAAGGCCAGGAGAGGTGTATCATGCCTGTAATCTCAGCAGTTTGGGAGGACGAGGCGGGTGGATCACCTGAGGTCAGAAGCTTGAGACCAGCGTGGCCGACATGGTGGAACCCCATCTCTACTAAAAACACAAAAATAAGCTGGGCATGGTGGGCGCCTATAATCTCAGCTACTTGGGAGGCTGACACAGGATAATCACTTGAACCCAGGAGGCAGAGGTTGCAGTGAGCTGAGATTGCACCACTGCACTCCAGCCTGGGCGACGGAGCAAGACTCTGTCTCAAAACAAAACCAAAAAGAAAAAAAAATCAGCTCAAATTTCTGAAGCAATGATGTTAGGTTTGGATATGTGAGATAGAAAACAGTGTTTTACATGTTTGTAAGTGTTCTTTGTTGTGTTCTAGATATATTAACCCTTTGTTACTTACAAGGTTAGTAATAGCTAGTTTGTGGCTTATCTTTTAACTTTGTTGATGATGTTCTTTGTTGTAAAAAAAAAAAAAAAAAAAAAACAAAAAACACCCTGTAATTTTGTTGTAGTTAGTTTAAGCAGTCTTTTCCATTGTTTCATAGTCATTTATTTCATGAGTGAAAAAGTAAGAGGACATAGGAGAGGCTTACTTTAAAGATGGGAATATAGTTTTCATCAGTGTCTTCAGTTTTAATTTGGATTTTAAAATTTTGGACTTCTTGACATTTTTCTTGATATTACTCTTGATAAGATTTTAGTAGAACCAGGCATGTACTTCTATATGTTTTCATAACTCTGTATTATTTAGAAATTAAAGTAGAATCCTTTAAGTTATCAGACAGTCTTTCTTCTTTTACCTCTAGCTGAGAAATTCCCACTTTGTGGCTGGTTTGCTGAGAACATGGTAATTCTTGCCTGTGATTACAGCAGTGGCCAAAAATCATCATGATGCTAAGCAGAGTCAAAATTAATTCTGACTTCAGTACAGGGATAGAATTTAAGATGGTTAAAAAGGCATGTAGTTTTGTTTAAGAATGATTGTTTCATTACTATTTTTTTTTTAGCCTTAATTCTGTTAAAGCAATGATTTGCAACTGAGGGTGATTTTTGCCCTCAAGGGGACATTTGACAGTCTAAAGATATTTTTGGTTGTCACAGTCAGGATAGTGCTACTGGAATCTAGTGGATTCCAGTGGAAAGAGGTCAGGGATGCTGCTAAACATCCTACAGCACACAAGACAGCTTCTGCCACCACAGTATTATCTAATCCCAAATGTTAGTAGTGCTGAGGTTGAGAAACCCCGTGTAGCCTTGCTATCTTTTAAAAATGGTTTGTAGTTGGGAGAGCTGAGTGGGCCATTTCTTCATGTTTTGTTTGTTTGTTTCTTTTTTTTTCTCTAGAAAAAAATTATCCTGTCATGTCACCCTCCCAAGTAGCTAGGACTACAGGCACGCTCCACCATGCCCAGCTAGTTTTTTTAAAAAAATTTTTGTGTGGGAGTGTAAATTAGTTCAACCATTGTGGAAGACAGTGTGGTGATTCCTCAAGGACCTAGAAACAGAAATTCCATTTGACCCAGCAGTCCTGTTACTGGGTATATATACAAAGGATTATAAATCATTCTGCTCTAAGGACACATGTACATGAATATTCACTGCAGCACTGTTTACAATAGCAAAGTCCTGGAACCAACCCAAATGCCCATCGGTGATAGACTGGACAGGGAAAATGTGGCAGATGTACATCATGGAATACTATACAGCCATAAAAAATGATGAGTTTGTGTCCTTTTAGGGACATGGATGAACCTGGAAACCATCATTCTCAGCAAACTGACACAAGACCAGAAAATCAAACACCGCATGTTCTCACTCATAGGTGGGTGTTGAACAATAACACATGTACACAGGGAGGGAAGAATCATACACTGGGGTCTGTCGGCGGGAAATAGGAGAGGGACAGCGGAGGGTGGGGAGTTGGGGAGAGATAGCATGGGGAGAAATGCCAGATATAGGTGATGGGAAGGAAGGCAGCAAATCACACTGCCATGTGTGTACCCATGCAACAATCTTGCATGTTCTTCATATGTACCCCCAAACCTAAAATGCAATTTAAAAAAAAGATGAGGAAAAAAAAGATGGAAAATGGATATAGAAAGTTGGAAAAAGGAAGTGAATAGGAAAATTATAAGAGGTTATAAAAGATTTATGGAAATCTTGTGTGGTCAAAACTGATTGAGATTGGATGGATCTGTTTAAAAGGTTTTATTAGCATTAATAGTAATACAGTGATGCAACTGATTTTCTCTCTTGAATAAGATTTCATGTAGTATTAGTAAGAAATAGTAAAATTTTTTTCTCAATTAAAAAAATTTTTTTTTTTTTAAGATATGGGCTTTTGCTATGTTCCTCGGTCTGGTCTTGAACTCCTGACCTCAAGCGATACTCCTGCCTCAACCTCCCAAAGTGCTGGGATTACAGGCATGAGCCACCACACCTGACTTAAGTTGTTTCTTGAGCAGTCAGAATGATCTTGGTCCCCTTCGTCTCAGATCTCAGTCTCTCTTTCTTTCTTTTTTTTTTTTTTTTTTGAGACAAGATCTTGCTCTGTTGCCCAAGTTGGAGTGCAGTGGTCCAATTATAGCTCACTGCAACCTTGAATTCCTTGGCTTAAGTGAATCTCCCATGTTGGCCTTCTGGTAGCTGGAACTATAGGCATGTGCCACCATATCTGGCTAATTTTTTAAATTTTAGTAGAGACAAGGTATCACTATGTTGCCCAGGCTGGTCTTGAACTCCTGGGCTCAAGCAATCTTCCTCTCTTGGTCCTTCCAAAGTTCTGGGATTACAGGTGGGAGCTACTGACGCCTGGCCTCTAATCTCATTTTTAAATATGTATATAATTTAGAATCCCCTAATTGTCTTCAATGTTAATGCCGTGATGATTTTTTTCTTCTCAGGGTATAACTGTGATGAGGATTTTTTTTTTTTTCCCCTCAAATTGGCTTCATGACTCTTTTGAAGGTGTATCACATTTTGGTTTACATGAATTTTTAGTTAATTGATTAATTTTTATTTTATTTTATTTTATTGTTTGAGATGGAGTTTTGCTCTTGTTGCCCAGGCTGGAGTGCAATGGTGCAATCTTGGCTCACTGCAACCTCTGCCGCTTGGGTTCAAGCGATTCTCTTGTCTCAGCCTCCCGAATAGCTGGGATTACAGGCGCCCACCACGCCTGGCTAATTTTTTGTGTTTTTAGTAGAGATGGGATTTTACCATATTACCCAGGCTGATCTTGAACTCCTCACCTCAGGTGATCCACCTGCCTCAGCCTCCCAAAGTGCTGGGATTACAGGTGTGAGCCATTGTGTTCAGCTGAGTTTTTAATTTATTCAGGCCTCTTGGAAAATATATTGGCTTTGTATGACATGAAGAATTAGGGAAAGTGTGGTCAACAGAGAATATCAACATGTAGAATTAGGGAAAGTGTGGTCCACAGAGAATATCAACATGTGATTGTGGATGATAAGGAAACATATTAAATAAGATCTAATATACCTCTGATATACCTCAGATCTGATATATAAAAACATCAGTGGATGTTTTTATTCATACATATTTTACTGTAGTGGCAAATTTTTAAAACTAAGCTCATTTAAAATTATTTTTTGAATGTCTGTTATGTGAAAAGCTTTTTTTTTTTTTTTTTTTTTTTTTTTTTTTTTTTTTTTTTTTTTTGAGATGCAGTGGCATGATCTCAACTCACTGCAACCTCCGCCTCCCACTTTCAAGCAATTCTGTGCCTCAGCCTCCTGAGTAGCTGGGATTACAGGTGCCAGGGATTACAGGTGCCAGCCACCATACCTAGCTAATTTTTCTATTTTCAATAGAGATAAGATTTCACCATCTTGGCAGGCTGGTCTTGAACTCCTGACCTTGTGATCCACCCTCCTCAGCCTCCCAAAGTGCTGGGATTACAGGCGTGAGCCACCACACCTGGCCGTGACAGGCGTTTATTTTTATTTTTGTTTTTGCTCGTGACAGGCATTTTTGTCAGGCATTAGAGATACAGTGGTGAATGAGATGGACATAATCCCTACCTTCAAGGAGCTACATTCTAGAAGGGGAGACAGATGACAAGTGTTTGATCAAAGTACTAAAATTGATAAGCTCTTTGTAAGAACCATGTAGACAATAAAGGATTGAGCCCCAGCAGTAGGGAGAAAGGGCCTACTTCAGCTAGAATGATCAGGAGTCTTCTGAGGAGGCAGCATTTGTACTTGTCTTTTCAAAAAAGTCAGCTTTTGGTTTTGGTTTTGTTCTTTTTTTAAACTTATGTCTGTTTTATAAAGAATATTATAATATTTTTGTTCTTAACATTATTTTTCATTTCTCGATTTTATTAATCTTCTTTTTGTTTTCTTCCTATTACTATTTTGGGGTTTAATTTCCTGTTCTTTCTCTAATTCTTTCTTTTTTAAAGAAAGCTTTTTTATTGATACATAATAGATGTATATATTTGGGAGGCACACCTGATAATTATACCTGATACGTAATTCAATACATTCATGTAATGGTTTTTTTTAATTTTTTTTTTTTTTTAAAAAGACAGGGTTTCACCATGTTGGTCAATCTGGTCTTGAACTCCCAACCTCAGGTGATCCGCCCACCTTGGCCTCCAAAGTGCTTCGATTACAGGCATGAGCTACCACGCCCGGCCACATTCGTGTA